AACCATTGTCAATTGTCAGGGAAAAAAAAACCCATCTGGTTCACTAATGTCCTTTAGGGAAGGAAATCTACCATCCTTACCTGGTCTGGCCTACATATGACTCCAGACCCACAATGAAATGATTGACTCTTAACTGCCCTCTGGGCAATTAGGGATGGGCAATAAATGCTTGACTAGCCAGCAACGCCCTTATCCCATGCATGAATAAAAAGAAAATTCTGTTGCTGTGCCCCTGGGTCCTAGTCTCTGGTGGAAATATCTTCCCCATCTGGCCTCTCAGTATTCTGTAAGTTCCAATGACATTCCCCTCATCCAGCGAGTATAGACCCAGAATCTTCAACTGCTCCTCATATGACAAGCCCTTTATTCCTGGGATCATTCTTGTAAACGCCCTCTGGCCCTCCCTCCAAGGGCAGCACCTTCCTTAGATATGGGGCCCAAAACTGCTCACAATATTCCAAATGTGGTCTACCAGAGCCTTACACAGCCTTAGCAGTATATCTGTGCTCTTGTATTCTAGTCCTCTTGAAATGAATGCTCACGTTGCATTTGCTTTCCTAACTGCCAACTGAATCTGCATGTGAACCTTAAGAGAATCCTGAACTAGGACTCCCAAGACCCTTTGTGCTTCACATTTAGAAGCCTTTCCCCATTTAGAAAATATTCTACACCTCTATTCTTCCTGCCAAAGTGCATAACCTCACATTTTCCAACATTGTATTCCATCTGCTACTTTTTTACCCACACTCCCAGCCTCTCCAAATCCTTCTTCAGCCTCCCCGCTACCTGAACACTACCTGTCCCTCCACCTATCTTTGTATCATCTGCAAACTTAGCAACAATGCCCTCAGTTCCTTTGTCCAGATTGTGAATGTATAACATGAATAGTTGTGGTCCCAATACTGACCCATGTGAAACTCCACTAGTCACTGGGTACCATCCTGAAAAAGAGCCCCTTTACCCCACTCTCTGCTTTCTGCCAGGCAGCCAATCCTCTGTCCATGCCAGTACCTTGTCCCTAACACCATGGGTCCTTACCTTATTTTGCAGCCTCCTGTGCAGCACCTTGTCAAACGCCTTCCAGAAATCCAAATAGATCACGTCCACTGACCTTTGTCTAACTTGCTCATTACCACCCTCAAAGAATTACAGCAAATTTGTCAGGCATGATCTCCCCTTGACTAAACCGTGCTGACTCAGCCCTGTTTTACTGTGCACTTCCAAATACTCACCAATCTCAGCCTTAATAATGGATTCTAAAATCTTCCCAATGACTGAGGTCAGGCTAACCAGCCTACACTTTCCTGTCTTTTGACTCTCACTCTTCTTAAACAAAGGTATTGCATCAGCCATGTTCCAGTCCTCTGGGACCCTCCCTGACTCCAGTGATTCCTGAAAAATCACTGTCAATGCCTCTAACGTCTCCTGAGCTATATCTTTCAGAACTCTGGGCTATAGTTCATCTGGTCCAGGTGATTTATCCACCTTAAAATTTTTACCTTCCCCATCACCTTCTGTTGAGTAGTGGACATCACACTAACCTCTGCCCCCTTACTCTCTTTAAGTTCTAGTATGCTACTGATGTTTTCCACTATGAAAACAGATGTAAAGACTTCACTGTTCTAGATTTCATCAATAGGGGCATAGAGTACATAAGCAGTTGTGTCTGCTACATTATAGGAGAGATGTGAAAGCATTGGAGAAAGTTCAGAAGTGATTTATAAGAATGGTTCCAGGGATGAGAAACTTCAGTTATGAGGATAGGTTTAAGAAGCTGGGACTGTTCTCTTTAGACAGGGAAAGGCTGAGGGGAGATGTGATAGAAATTTTCAAAATCACGAGGGATCTGCCCAGGGAGAGGTGGAGAAATTGCTTTCATTCATGAGGAGATGAGGAAGGCCAGGGGACAGTCTTAAAGTGATTGGTAAAAGGAAGCAAAAGAGATACCTGAGATAAATAGTTTTCATGTAGCGAATGTTTCGGGTGTGGAATGTTCTTCCTGACAGTTTGGTGAAGGCAGGTTCAGTTGAGATATTCAAGAGATTTGGATCATTACAGAACAAGAAGGATGTGAGGGATACAGAGGGAAGGTTGAACTTTGGCATGAGGTGAATGAACTAATCAGAGAGCCAGTACGGACATGATGGGCAGAATGGTCTCCTTCTGTACTGTAAGAATACTGAGAGTATTTGAATGTGCTGGGGGGCGTGGGGATGGAAGAGAGGGGTGTGGAAAACAATGAGCAAAGGGGGTTGTTAGTGAACTGGTCTCAATGCAGCTTAGAACAGTAAAGGAATTAAGGGTTATGGTGAGCAGGCGGGTAAGTGGAGCTGAGTCCATGAAAGGATCAACTATGATCTTATTGAATGGTGGAGCAGGCTCGATGGGCCCAACGGCCTACTCCTGGTCCTATTTCTTATGTTCTTATGAAACAAGTTATCGAGCTTCAGATGAGCCAAAGGTTCTGGGCAAGGTGCCTGACCTTGTTGGAATAATCATGATTAAAGGTTCCAAAAGTAAATGGAGGGTTTCAGCAGCACAGGAGCGGAGGCAGAGGTAAGGTGTTGGTGATGTGATAGAGGTGGGACTGGGCATTTCTGATAGTGGACAGGATATACTTGCTGCCTGAAGCTCAGTTTTCTGTCAGTTATTGTTAGTGAAAGGTCAGGGATGAAGTTAGAGCTTGCAATGAAGAATGGAAACACTGGCTGTTGTCCTCCTAAAACTGGAGGAGATTGGTGTAATCTAAACCTGGATGGTGGATTTTGACAAAATCAAAAGCAGTGCAGCATTGAAGGAGGTGGTCAGCTGGTGGAAGAGCTGGGTGTTTCTAGTGTAAGTGTGGAAACTAACTCTATGACTAAGGGTGGTCTCAGAGACCAGGCAGTGACACTGCATACCAGGATCCTGGAGATTCCCATGGAAATTACACACAGTGAATAACTGCATCATACTGTTTCACAAAACAACTTAAACTGGCTGCCCAAATAATCAACACATTTTGAATAAAAAAGGGAATGTTGGGAACGCGCAATGAGAAATACAAGAGGCCAGATCATTGGGAGAAGGAGCTATCCAGGATAAAAGCCATTTCATCTAATTTTTAGGTTATGGTTGGATAAAGAAGAATGAAATGAGGTGGAAGCAGTTTGAACAAACTGATGTTAGAAGAGGATGACATGGTTAAGTAGTTATAGTCACATATGGTACAGTTTGTACATTTTTGTACGAACCTATGTAGTGCTATGAGAGGGCATCCTGTACATAAAAAGCAGGACAAATCCAACTCTGGTCAAATACCCCTCATCAGCCTACTCTCAATCATTGGTAAACTGCTGGAAGATGTGATAAACTATGCCACCAAGCAGCAGCTGCTCAGAAATAACCTGCTCAGTGATGCCCAGATTGGGTTTTGCCTGGGTCACTCAGCTCCTGACCTCATTACAGCCTTGATTCAAAGATAAATTCAAGAGGTTTGGTGAGAGTGACTACCCTCAACAACAAGGCAACATTAAACCAAGTGTGGAATTTAGGAACTATCTCCAACAAGCAAGCATTTAACCATTGCCCCTTGATAT